TACTTGATGCTACTTGGGTCAGGGTCCTTGCATTCAAAGCAAGTTAGCCTTTAAATTGTGCCTCAGGTAGCTTTTCAGAGTTTGGTCTGCAGGAACGACTTTTTCCATATTTGCCTTAAGCGGCTAAAGGTACCTGCCTTTGTAATTCCCTGCTTGTACACTTGGAAACAGTTGCCTTTCGTTGTTTTAAAAGTGTACACGTAAGCCGTTTTTGCTTTTTTACTTTAATGATACTTGATTTACTTAACTGACAAACTGGAACGTGTCCAGAGGAGAGCAACCAAAATGGTCAAAGGCCTGGAAACGATGCCTTATGAGGAACGGCTAAGGGAGCTGGGCATGTTTAGCCTGGAGAAGAGGAGGTTAAGGGGTGATATGATAGCCATGTTCAAATATATAAAAGGATGTCATATAGAGGAGGGAGAAAGGTTGTTTTCTGCTGCTCCAGAGAAGTGGACACGGAGCAATGGATCCAAACTACAAGAAAGAAGATTCCACCTAAACATTAGGAAGAACTTCCTGACAGTAAGAGCTGTTCGACAGTGGAATTTGCTGCCAAGGAGTGTGGTGGAGTCTCCTTCTTTGGAGGTCTTTAAGCAGAGGCTTGACAACCATATGTCAGGAGTGCTCTGATGGTGTTTCCTGCTTGGCAGGGGGTTGGACTCGATGGCCCTTGTGGTCTCTTCCAACTCTATGATTCTATGATTCTATGATACTTGATTTCTACAGGTACCACTGTATCCCGACTGTCTCTCAACTGCTACTGTCATCCCACCTAGATGCAAAGGAGGGGTGAGACAACAAGGTCCTCTCCACTGGCTCATTTGTGACCGACTCATTTGGCTCGACTTCCTGTAGCAGCATTTCACCTGACAGCATTGGAGGAGGAGGAGGTGGAAGAGCAAAGACTCCTCCGTTGGCTCAGCTGAGCCCAGCTGCTACTTGGCCCTTTCCCTGCCGGAACAACCTCCTGAATGACTATTCCAACTGGCCATCGTGTAACAATATAACTACAGAGGGGATGCGAATTTGCTCATCCCCATCTTCCCCTTCCCTGTCTCCTTTCCTGCCATTTTTCATAAGAATGCAAGCTACTATTTCAAACTGTAAATTGCCCCAAGTGCTTTGGCATATGAGTTCGACTCAGGCGACCTGAAAGGATTGTGTCTCCCTATATGAACCTGCCCAGCTGCTAAGACCCTCAAGTGAGCACCTTATCTTGCTCCCATCAACACCAGAAGCACGGCTGCTGGTGACGCAAGAGGGAGCCTTTTTCTGTGGCTGCTCCCGTATTGTGAAACTCCCTCCCAAGAGAGGTGAGACTGGCTCCCTCTCTGCTCCCCTTCTGCCAGCTAGACCTTCCTGTTCGGAGAGGCCTTTGAAAACTAAGGAGCAGACAGACGATGCTGATCACAGGGCTGCTGTCAGGGCAAGCTATTTCAATTACTGGTTTTAAATGTGTTTTGATGTGTTTTAAGTATTGTTTTTAACTAGTTTGTTTTTATTGATTCAGGTTGCATTTAAATGCAAGCTGCCTTGAATCCCAACTTGGGAGACAGGAGGGATATAAATATATTCAGTAAAGAAAATAAATAATGATCAATGCAAATGTTTAGTACCAGGGCTGATCCTCACACTTCCACAACTTAAATGCCACGTAGAGATTTCAAAAACACACTTTGCTTTACACATTTAGGTTTGCTTTTGTGTGTATGTGTGTGTGTGAGAGAGAGGGGGGGGGGAACAAATCGTATTTAGTTCATGAAATACAGTGGTGCCTCGCAAGACGAAAAGAATCCGTTCCGTGATTCTCTTCGTCTAGCGGTTTTTTTGTCTTGCGAAGCAACCCCATTAGCGGCTTAGCGGATTAGCGCTATTAGCAGTTTAGCAGCTATTAAAGGCTTAGCGGCTGAGCTGCTAAAAGGCTATTAGCGGCTTGGAAAAAGGGGGGGGGGGAGCGGGGAAAAAATGGCAAGACTCGCAAGACATTTTCATCTTGCGAAGCAAGCCCATAGGGAAATTCGTCTTGCGAAGCAACTCAAAAACGGAAAACCCTTTCGTCTAGCGGGTTTTCCGTCTTGCGAGGCATTCGTCTTGCGGGGCACCACTGTATATAGATCCCATAGCTCTACTAGAAGAGGAAATGAACATTTTCTTAAAAAGTTATAGGGTTACTGTAATCATTCCAGCCACATAAAAGGAAGGCTAACTTACAGAGCTTCAGATCTTGGGAATGAGAGTCTAAAGATCCTAGCATATTCTTGAGCCCCCACTGCACAGCATCTCCCAGGACCACAAATTCTCCAGTAGAGCAAACACATTTGAAATGATGTGGAAAGGTGGCTCTAGGCTAGGGCCAATGACTTGGCAAGCACACACATCCTTCAAGGTTGGCCTCTTTGCTGTCAGTAAAAGAGGGTGGAAATTGAAAAACAAAACAAAACATTCTGCCTGCTGCCCTTTTCACTGGCAGGGGGGTCAAAGTAGTCAGTTCAGAGACTCAGCTGCATTTATTCTGCAGTCCTAAGCATGCTTACTCAAGACATAAATCACATCAAGCTCAATGGGGCTTAATTCCAACTCCCATTTGCTTAGCATTTCATGAGTGTGCAGAGCAAGGAATGCCCAGATTCAGCTTGCAGAATTTCCCTTTCATAAAATACACCTTGTGCCAGAGGAAGGCTAGAATCTAAAATGGCAAAGAACAGATGCTCCTTACAAATAATAGTTTTCATGTAGTGCTGCTCTATAAATAATAGAAAGCAAAGCTGGTTAACAGAAAACGAATAACAGTAGCAAAATACTTCCCAAATTGCCCCCTTAAAGGCCAATTATAGCAATTGATTTAAATTATCAAACTCAAATGGCAAAAAATTTAATAATTTCATGAGTACCAGACACACCAAAGTTTAAATCACATCACTTACACAGATGCTTCTAATTTAGGGAAAATAAACATATAACTCTTCCAACAAGCACATTGTGCATTTTAGGTGTAAACCTGGACTACTTTGAGATTTGTTTTCTTATCTAAATGGTTTGATATAATTGTTTTCCTACTCAGTTAATGAATTAGGTATTTTACTGAATTAAATGCCACAAAAGGATTCTTAACATAATTCTGTGACATTTATAGCAGATAAAGGAAATTACCCAACTCTCTTTCACTCACTAGGCTGCTCCCTAATTCTTTCTAAATGCTCATATACTATTCTAAAGGGCAACAGAGAAAATAGGCTGAGTTCAGACGTAACATAAAACCTTGGTTTACCATGACAGTAATGGACAGTGGCCAACTTTGGGTTAAACACTTCCTTTCTCCCTCATTTTTCACATTCACATGGATTGCAAAAGCTCCTACTTCCACTGTCCCTGTGATGTCTGAATTCTGGAAGCTGTTGTCGCTTAAACAATGATTAGTGAGAACAAGCCAAATGCAATTGTTCTCACTAGCCATTGTTTAAACAAACCATAGTGCCCCAAGTTTGGATGCCACAGGGAACTGTGGCTAGTTTGAAAACAGAAGAAGATTTCAATCTCATTGTAGATATAAAAGGGAATGAGATGAGAGAGGTTTCCACCATGGGGTTGGTTCCATGGTAAGTGCTTTAATTAAAATAGCAGGCAATATTAATACAAGATATTGAGACAGCAACACCGGAAAGGCAGTGATTCCTTCACTGCGGTTCCTTGCCTAGGAGCACAGAACCAATGATCTGCAAGAGGCCATCCGATCCTGGTTTGGATGAGCTGGGAAAGCATCTCCTCCTGTGCCTTCTGTCCCCTTCTGGCTTTTGCTTCCTCTCCCCGTCAAGCCACTTGTCCTCCAGGACTTGCTCCAGCTGGAGCTGGAGGAGACTCTTGAGAGTCCCATGGACTGCAAGATGATCACACCTATCCATTCTGAAGGAAATCAGCCCTGAGTGCTCACTGGAAGGACAGATCCTGAAGCTGAGGCTCCAATACTTTGGCCACCTCATGAGAAGAGAAGACTCCCTAGAAAAGACCCTGATGTTGGGAAAGATTGAGGGCACAAGGAGAAGGGGATGACAGAGGACGAGATGGTTGGACAGTGTTCTCAAAGCTATGAACATGAGTTTGACCAAGCTGCAGGAGGCAGTGGAAAACAGGAGTGCCTGGCGTGCTCTGGTCCATGGGGTCACGAAGAGTCGGACACAACTAAACGACTAAACAACAACAACAACAACTTGCTCCAGCCTCTGCTGGGTCTCAGCGAGGGAGGCTACATGCATTCCTGAAGTTCAGTGTGGCTCATTCTCATAGCAGTGTTTCCCATTACATCTGAAGCTTGCTTTGATTTAGAAAGGAGGAAAAGAAAAACCTTTTCTTGAAGGAGTAGCAAGCATCATTATTTCTGATGCAAATTTTGGATAGAAAAGGAATCGTAGCCATTGTAGAGCTGAAGGGATCTCAAGGGTCATCTAGCCCAAGCTGCAGCAATCACAGCTACTAAAGAATCCCTTACTGATGGACATCCATTGGTCCAGTATATCTGAAGGAGCGTCTCCACCCCCATCATTCTACGCAGACACTGAGATCCAGCAACGAGGGCCTTCTGGCAGTTCCCTCACTGCGAGAAGCCAAGTTACAGGGAACTAGGCAGAGGGCCTTCTCAGTAGTGGCACCAGCCATGTGGAAAGCCCTAAGGCCACCAGATGTCAAAAAGAACAACTGCTACCAGACTTTTAGAAGACATCTGAAGGCAGCCCTATTTAGGGAAGCTTTTAATGTTTGATGCATTACTGTATTTTAATATTTTGTTGGAAGCTGCCCAGAGTGGCTGGGGAAGCCCAGCCAGATGCACGGGGTATAAATAAATAAATTATCATTATCATTAATATCATTATCATTATCACCCAACCTCTGCTTAAAAACCTCCAAAGTACTATTCCCAGATGAGTCAGAGTAGAAAACATTCAGTGTCTGGATCACAACCTGTAGGGTGAAAGTTAACCACAAACTGTATAAAAATCACACACCTGTTGTGAACTGCCCTTTCAGTTTCTGGAAGACAGGGTCTTGAGCCGTCGCCTGGGCTCTCCTCGCTAGCGACTCCGAAGCCGCGCTGGAAAACATGGTGGAGACATTGGAGACGTTCTCCAGACCGACACCAAAGGTGCTGACCAACTTCTTGACAAAATTCAGCGTGTGGGGGGTGATTTTGGCATCTGAAACCGCTCCACTCTTCTCAAAGGCGACAGAGTAGCACTTGGCCAGGCCTTGCTGAAGCTGTCGAAGGACCTAACGCCATCAAACACAAAAACAGCACCTTTTTCAATGGAAATAATGAAGTACACATTTGGCACCGTACAGCAACATTCTGAGATGAAGCTACAGAAAGCAGTGCTAAGAACTTTGCTCTTCCTCTCCCCAACTGGTTTTGCTTTTCTGTCATGTATTCTAGACTGCAATCCTGAGATCAGGGACTGACTTGGGGTTATTTTGTTGGTTTATATGTAAAAAATGCTCCAGAAGCCCTCTTGCTTGAAAAGTGGGATAAAAACCTTTAAAATAAATAAATACACATGTGACACATTACCAGCGTGTTGCAATTCCTAGCTTTTTGGACGCAAACCTGTCTGCATATAGCCAACTTTCCTGTACTGCTTTTTGCTTGTCAGGAAGTCCAAACAGCAATTTTAGACACACATTTATTTCCAAAATGTTCTATATTCCACCCTTTGGTTGCACGAATCCTTCGCGGAAACTGCTGTCGCTTTTCAGCATCTGGTAAACAACTTTGAAAGGTCTGCTTTACTTGCAAAGTGCTATATACATACTTAAAAAATGGGAAGGTAGGAAGAAGTCAATGGGAGGCAGTGATGGCTTGTCCATTAAGGCAAATGGGGCACTGCCCCACCAACCTCAGCCTTTATTCTTCCAGGAGTGGCTGGGGAAACCCAGCTAGGTGGACAAGGTATAAATAAAAAATTATTATTCTAATTGTTAAGTCCACACGTCTGCCTTCCTACTCACAACCAGCCTAGGTGGTAGCATGACCTGTCAGGTTCCTCCTGCTGCTGCTGCTGAGTCCCAGTGTTGCCACTTGCAGAACTCAAGAGGGTGGAGATGGAGGGAGACAAAGCTAAAATTAACTGGCTCTGCTTCCTGTTTGGTCTGACTACACTTGCTGTTGGGCTCCCTGCCTTCTGCCCAACGAGCCACCTTGGCTGTGGCTGGGCAAATGCCTAGAGCACCAAGTCAGTCTCAAGAAATGCAAACTCCCTTGAATCAGTGTTGTCAGATGGCAGTGGTGGTTGCTCGTGGGTAACCAGTCAGGACTCAGACCTGTCTTTTACAGGTTTTATTTTGGTGCAAAACTATTTACAGTGCAGAGCCACAAGTACATGTCTGCCTCAATCGCTAGCAGAATCCGGGAGTGGTCGTTTCTGGGTCCTCTCCCAACAGAAAAGCTTTGTCACCCCCAGCCTTTTCCTTCCTTCTTTGCGTTTTACACCTCTGTGCAGGGTGGGCGACGGAAGAGGCATGCTTCCCTCCTGGCTGGCTTGGCCAGGAGCGGTGCTGAGGCTCCCAGCAGCATCCTCTGGTCCTTTCCCCTCTTCCCCACTGGAGGTGTGGCTTTCCTCACCACAGGAAGAGGAACTGCTTCGCAAGGTTTTTGGAGGTTCCCTGTAACCCAACTGCCCCTCTGCTACCCTACCTTGTTCCGATGGCAGTACCCTGACAAGTGTGCAAGGTGCAAAAGCTTGGAACGATCTCAATACCAGGAGCAGGGGGAAGGAGGATGGTGACATACAGGCCTCTTCCCACCTACATGCGTTTGGCTCGCACGTGACCACGTAGCACCCAATCTAATAAGGAACCCGGGAAATAATTACATAAATCCATTTCAAACTGCAGAAAGAGTAAAAATTGCCCAAAAAGAGCAGGAAAACAGCTAGCAATCCCAGGAGCCTTTGCAACTGCAACCCCAGCAGCTTTTGCATATCACCCTCCAACAATGAGGAAGACTAAGAGCCACCAATGACACCTATCTGGTCAGTGCTACTTGTTTTTTAAACAGTTTTTCAAGGGATTCCTGGGAACATAACCCCGGCGTAAGTGGGGAGACCCCTGTACACGTTTTAAAAATTCCAGTTCTAAACGGAAGAAACATACCTCTTCGTGCCAGTTTTCTCTGAACCAGACCATCTGATCCACAATCCCTTCCAGAGAGGAGAGGAGTGTGGGGTGCAATTCCCTCTGCATGTGCATAATTCGGCTGCAACGCCACATGGGAGCTGTGGCTCTGATTGGCCCAGGGTCCGAAGCCGAATGGGACTGGTTTCCGACTGAACTTGGCTGCTGCTGTCCGGAATCTTACAGGGGATGGAAAAATTCCCAGAAAACACCATTAGCACTACAAAGCACCCCAGAACCTTAAAAATAAGTTGCAATTTCTCTGTAAATTAGAAAAGAAATTGCAATCCCGCTACATTGACAGGCACATTATTAACACAAAACGTTTACAAGAATTTCTGCTACAAACAAATACTTCCTGTTTCCACTTCAATAAAGCTGACAAAAAGAAAATATTTCATAGAAGACCCACACTGGAAAACAGAAATAGCTTTATGGTCCTCAACTTTCTTCCCGTCCAACTGCTTGGTTTTGGTGTGCCAGGAACTGCTAAAACATATTTCTAGAATAGACATTCAGAGTAGCCTTTCCATTCATAAAATCCCACAACATGTCTGGGCTCCAAAGTCACCATTAGCCACAAGGAAACAGTCATTTACGAGAAAGACTGTCCAGAGAGAATACTGTAATATCATAATCTGTTTTACACAGCAACCAAATGCTGTCTAGCAAAAGGGGAGAAAGCCTAAAACTTAAAAACAAGCTATGCATTTCTGATCATTCTTATCAGACTCTAACACTTAGAAGCAATTTGTTTTAACCCTGTTAGGCATTTAGGATATTTTCATGCTCCTATATTATTATTATTGTTGTTATTATTACTATACAGCCCTTCATCTGAGGACCACAGGGCAGTTTACAATATAAAAGGGTGAGTTATGGAAATGACCTAAAGGGTCAGTTATGCAATGTTTTAAAGTCTAATTCATGCCACTGTACAATCCACATGTTCTCCTACAGTAGAGGTGTGCGTTTGTCAATCATTCTATAGCAGTGGTTCCCAATTAGCTAAGTATTGCGGACCCCCCGTTTTTCAAAAGCCAAGCCATGTACCCCTTACTTTTGAAAATTTTGATATCTGTATAGTAGTTTTTGTTATGCGAAGGGTGACACAGACCCCTTGGGTATGTGGACCACCATTTGGGAGCCACTATTCAACAGTATTGTAGCCTCCTGGAGCACTGCAACTTAGATGCCAGGGGTGTAATGACCCCAATATACTGAAACTCTAATTTAACACAGCCACTGCTGTCATGTTGGTGCAACATTTTTATATATATAAAAAAACCACAGGCATCTGGAGCACCTTTTATTATTATACCTCCAGGACATTTTGAATGAAAGGAAAATGAATTTGGGATCTGTGAGATCTGATATGAATTAACAATGGGGTAGGAGGGATTACAGACCTGAGATACTATCCTGGTACAGTAATAACAATCCACAATACAATTACACTTTAAAATATGGAATTCAAGTTATCATCAGTAAAGGTAAAGGACCGCTGGATGGTTATGTCCAGTCAAAGGCGACTATGGGGTTGCGGCGCTCATCTCGCTTTCAGGCCGAGGGAGCCAGTGTTTGTCCACAAACAGCTTTCCCGGTCATGTGGCCAGCATGACTAAACCGCTTCTGGCTCAATGGAACACCGTTGATGGAAGCCAGAGCGCACGGAAACACCATTTACCATCCCGCCACAGCGGTACCTATTTATCTACTTGCACTGGCATGCTTTCGAACTGCTAGGTTGGCAGGAGCAGGGACCGAGCAACGGGAGCTCACCCCATCGCAGGGATTCGAACCGCTGACCTTCTGATCAGCAGGTCCAAGAGGCTCAGTGGTTTAGACCACAGCACCACCTGCGTCCCTTGATCATCAGTACGTACGTATGTATATATTTGTTTAACCCCTCCCCCCAAAAAACCCTATGACTTAACTGGGGTCCATTTTATTATCAGGTTATTGACACACATTTTGTAAGCATAAGGAGGTTGAACAAAGAAGCTGCCTCTAGAAGCAAAGTTGAGGCAAATTGCCCAACCTGAGAAAGGGCCAAGGACATCATGATATGCCTGCTGCTTACCACTTTTGTAGCGCTCCCGCTGTTCTATCTTCAGTGTCAAGTAGAGGGTCCGAATAGGAAAGTAGACTGCCTGGGGATAGACTCGCCCAACCTATTTTGCCATTAAAAAAAAAAACCACATGTGAATTCTCAACGGCCTCATGAAAAATACTGTGATCCAAACAGATCTGCCAACCGACTGATGCCTAAGCATAACTACTCAAAAATATTTTTTAAAAATAATGATATATACAGCAGGTAAAAATAAAGGGCCTGTCTGGGCAATATTTCGACGCAAGTCCTGAACATGGTGGGGAGCAAAAGCATATCTTTTTATACAGCTTTTATTTGATTTTACAAATTCTTTAACACTCATATTCACAAATAAAGAAGACTACACAAGATTCTTCCGAATCTCAAGGCTTCCCTCCTCCCCTCCGTGGGTTCTTTGGGTAACCTTTTAAACTGCTTATCGTAAGTCCATCTAATTTATAATCCTCCATTGTGTCCAAGGTCTATATATCATTGCAAGAATTATTTAAAACCAGCAATAGCATATCTTACCCCCTTGCCCACCTGGTGTGCTGGTCCACATTTTGTGCTTCATTCCCCCCCCCCTCAGGGTTTTTGTTCTTAATTATATCTTGAAGTTCTTCGTCTATGCAAATCATCCTCTTGAGAGGAGATCTTTATCTCAGGCTGCTATTATCCCAGGGAACTATTTGAAAGGGTTTCTATATGTGGACACTTGTTTTTAAATGTTTGCATTTTCATATATGGAACCATCTTAATTGCTTTATACAGTGGTACCTCGGGTTACAAACACCTTGGTTACAAACGCTTCAGGTTACAGGCTCCGCTAACCCAGAAGTAGTACCTCGGGTTAAAAACTTTACCTCAGGATGAGAACAGAAATCTTGTGCCAGTGGCGTGGTGGCAGTGGGACGCCCCATTAGCTAAAGTGGTACCTCAGGTTAAGAACAGTTTCAGGTTAAGAACGGACCTCTGGAACGAATTAAGTTCGTAACCAGAGGTACCACTGTATACGCAACTGCTTTTTATCTTTTTTTTTGGTTTATAGACCTTTAACTGTTTTATAAATTGTCTATCTTATTGCTATAATGCACCCTGGGACCTTTAAGGTGAAAGGGACACGTAAGAAAGCTAACTAACTAACTAAATGTAGGGATCGGATCCTGATAAAGGCATCGCCCAATCTGATATAAAAGCCGCTCCGAAAGGGTTATAAAGGGAAGCTGACAAGGATTCTATCATATTACTTTGTAAGCCAGACATCTGCATAATGAGATAGCATACAGAGCACTAAAAAGATCTTACTGATGCAGATAAAAAGAGAGAGGCACAGAAAGACAGCATTTAGTCTTTAAATAAGACCACAATTCCCAATGAACCCAGCACGATGTGTTAGCTGGGCCCATTAGAGCGTAACCTTATCTCACAAAATTGCTGCTCTACTGGGTGAAAAATAGCCACTTAATGTAAAGGGATTCCACTTTCACCAAGCAGAGGTTTCATGACTCCTCCGGGGAGAGGAGGGGGGGAAACGGTGAACACACATTAATGTGCCATTTTTGCCTTTAAATCTATACGTCTTGGTATCTATTAAATGATAGGAACAATATATCTGACCAGATTCTATGAGGCAAGGGCAGACGATAAGATATGGCAGGAGGTTCCTCTTGCCATCCTTTTCATCAAAAAATATACCGCACCGGCTTCCAAAGGAACTGAAATGTCACTTTAAAACGTTTGCAATGAATTAACTCCCGCCTGTAATGGCCCATTTGAGATCAGCATAAAATGTACAGTAATGACAGCTGGAACAGTCTGATCATGGCGAGGATTTCGTTTCGTTTCACATATTTAAAGACTCCTGATAAATAAAAGCCTAGCTCGTGCTATACCAACACCATTGCTGTTATAGCGGCACCAGAGATGACGGTCTGCAAAAGCAAATCACTCTTTGACTCCATTTGCACAGCATGGAAAGCCATACTATAGCTTGCCAGGACTGGACAAATGAGCAGGACTGCACACGTGTGAGGAGCTCCCAAACACTTTGCTCCTCCTTTTTTGCAGTGTGTATGTGGGTGTCTGTTACTCCTACACCATGGGTAGGCAAACTAAGGCCTGGGGGCTGGATCCGGCCCAATCACCTTCTCAATCCGGACCGCAGATGGTCCAGGAATCAGCGTGTTTTTACATGAGTGGAATGTGTGCTTTTATTTAAAATGCTCATCTGGGTTATTTGTGGGGCGTAGGAATTTGTCCAACCCCCAGCTACGCAAACACATGCTATCCACTTTTTGGGGTAGTCTAACATCACGACAAAATGAAAATATCAGATTCTATCTGTCTGACATTAACCCGGAAGTAACTGCAATATAATCTGGAAGCTGAGTGGCTGAGTTTTTAATCAAAGGTATCTCTCATAGTGGTGAGCGGCACTATTTAGCAGGAAGAAATGCCAATGAAAATCCCCGTTATTATGTATTTTTACATGGCTGTTTATTTGCATATATTTTAAATTTTTATATATGGATGTTTTATGGTAGCCTATATCTGCAATGCCTAATAAAGGTTTGGCAAAGTAAGGCTGACATAAAAAGTAATCAAAGCAACCAAAAATGCATATATGAAGTCTTTTATGGTCATTCTTCCCTGTGTACATAATGAAGGAAGGCTGCTCAATTGTAAAGCAGTCCTTTTGTTTTATATTTTGTGCCATTCTAAATTTATTGGAGAGTTTCTTAAATTTCCAAAGCTTAGTTATACCAATTCATCAAAGAGGCTCCTTCCATGAATTTCCAATACCTAGTTACAATAAGTCTTGGTGCAATTAACAGTGATTTAAAGCATGCATCTGCATTTTGCCTGCAAAAAAAAAAGGGGGGGGAGGATTTAACAAAGCCAATTCTTGGCAAACCGTTTTCAGTCTTTTGCCAAAGATGGGACATCATAAATAAAAAAGAAAAACTTTATCCTGCAATCAGCTCATGATCTGCAATTTTAGATTTTTTATGTGAGGTTATTTTTATGCACATACTGTATGTATATATTTATGATTGCTGTAAACCACGTCAGTATTTGTTTCAAAGACACTGCGATATACAAATATTTTAAGTAAGTAAAATAAATAAATAATCTTACATGTTATCTGCCATTTGATCTGAGGTTTCAGCACTATTTTGTATGGTTCATCATCTGCAAGTGACTTCATGCGCAATTAAAAATATCCCTATTTAAAGACTGCAGTTGAAGTAGTGATTCCTTTCACAGATATGCATCCCTTCTGGAATCATGGTATTCAATGCCATTTTATCGTTACTAAACCCATTAAACACCACATATGAAAATACACAACACACAGTGTAACAGTTTCGGGGCGGGGGGACCTTTAAAAACACAATTATATTGCCTTCAGTTTTACCTTTAAAAAATGGATAAATAAAAAGCTTATACTTCTAAAGCATGAGAAACAATGAATCAGGAATTATTGCAAACTCCCCTACCTGACTAATAAGGTTTAACAGAAGTTTCCCTTCTGACCCAACCAGACAGGTTAACAGCTGTGGAATCCAAGCCAGCCATTGGATAGGGGGGACTCCAATGCAGTACTTGTCAACAGCATCTGCTAGCGTGTTCTTGTCATCGTCAAAGCTCAGTAGCCAAAGGACCTAAAAGAAAAGAGCAAAAATGAAAATGAAGTCTTTTCATAGGAGAATGGGTAGTTGACATTTCAATATCCCGCACATGGAAAGAGTTTGGGCAAAGGCTAAGTTCTGGTTTTTGCATGCTGCCACCCCCCTCACCTTTGTCACGACCATTAATTTCAATGGGTCTACTCTGAGTAGGACTAACGCTAGGTGCAATAATAGTTGGAAGGCACCCCAAGGGTCGTCTAGTCCAACTCCCTGCAATGCAGGCATCTCAGCTATCCATAACTTAAAACTTTATTTCAGCAGCCAGGTAAACAGTCTCCAAGGTCCTAAATGAAGGGGAAGACCTTTCCATTCAACAGGAAACCACTCTAGTGAGCAACAGGTATCAGAGAAAGTGTGATATGACGATCTTCACTGGAATAACTTGAATTCTATTATGAGATAAGCCCTTTGTATCTTGCTCCAGTCCAGAAAGATGTAGAACAGGTCTGAAAAGGGTTAAAGAGGTCATGATTATTATGCCAAATGCTGGCAGGGAAATCCACCTTCGCCTATAAAAAGAATAAGCAAACAAACAATGGGATAGCTTCCAAACTATTTTGGAGACAATAAATGTCAGATCTGTAAGATATTTTTGTAAGCTGGAGAATTGTTATTAGGTGACTAACAAATGCAAAAACGAAGCAAAATATGAAGTCAAATCCCCTAAATAGTAATATTTGGAAAGAAGTAAGCTGGCAGAATTAAATGTAATGTGCAACAGCTGCAAGATTAAAATCAGCTCTGTTCTGCTTCACAGCTAAAAGTGTGTAGTGTTATGTGTTTACCCCAAAATGCCCATTAATACACAAATGCAAATCTAGTTTGGTAAAAACAGTACATTTTCTTTATTTTTAGATAACCAGCAGGTCACGTTTATACACACTTTACATTTAAAACGAAAGCAGTATTGAAAGACAGCAAGAGCCATTTAGGAACTCACGTTTGAATTAGTTTGGCAACTTGCCCAAACAAATCTCTCTCTCTCTCTCTCTCTCTCTTTTAAATACAGGGCACAATAGTAGTCATTTGTCAAAGATTAGGGGAGAAATCCATTTTAGAACCTTTTGGATTAAACAGAAGTTCAACTGAAGCTCAGGTGCTAGAAGCTATAATCCATTATTAAACTTCCATTTCAGCAGATAGAACTGGGTATGTTCTGGGGTGCGCTTTAGATTTTTTTGAAACCGGGGCCACAATAACGATTGTGATATATGGCTAGTTTGGATATGTCAAGAAATTCAACTGCTATATTATAATTTGCGCAGGGAGAAAGCAAGGCTCTTCGTCTAACTAGCCCAACTTCCACTTGGCCCCTTTCCCAGTAAATTCCAAAAGCGGTCAACACCGTGCCTTCTATACGCTGTCGGACCCCCATTATCCACAACTGAGAGCTGAAGTCCAACACCTGGAGACCACCCCATTGCCCACCCCTGCTCTAGAGGGAACTGAGAAAGAAAGACACCCTTCTATTAGCCTGCTTTAGCAGCTGCTAACTCCAGCTTTTCCTAATTGATATAGTCCCTCTCTCCCCCAATAACCCAGCTTTCCTCAAACTGGAGCACACCACATGTTTGAACTTCCAACTCCTCAATATACACACACATTGCTGTTGATGTTGGCATCCGTCTGTCTCTGGAGACAATGGAGAACGTCCCTGGAGGTGAAGTCCATCCGCTGCAATAAGCAGCACTGAAGTGACCTCAAATAAAAATAAAAGTACTGGGAACCATGGAAACTGAATCTGAAGCTGTTCCAGGTTTGCAGTCATTTGGATGTGTACATCCAGGGTTCTTAAAGTAGGAATATAGTAATGGAGGAGGGGGAATGTGGCCTCAGGAGCATCTGGGTAGTTCATTATGTATCAGGGGATCTGAGTCAATTGAATTTCCCCCGCTTTCCTTGAAAGCAGATAGTTGATGGCTATGGGTAATTTCACCTCTCCATCCCCCAACCTAAGTCAGCTCTGGCTAATTGCCAATTGGTTGTGGAGACCATGTCTTTGCCATGATAGATGGCCTTGGGAAAGGATCAGGAAAGCTGACAACGCCTGTTGTGCACCCGTCTTCAAGGATGACTATCCTCAAAATGAAAAAAAGAAGGCAAGAGAACAACACCCAATCTTTCGTTTCCCTGAACTCTGGTGAACTGTGCTAGAATGCAAAAGCCCACTGTCCACACAGCTAGTGTGCATGTTGACTTCCTCCGACAACGTGTCTGCCGTTTAATGCTTATGTTCACCAACATCTGCTGAAGCCTTGAGTCTGTGTTTAAAACATATGAATTGTGCTCCGTTATCAGCATCCTTGTCACAACAGCCCATTCCCAACGGTATAATCTGTATGTCAGGCAGAAACGCCGGAGCTCCTCTTATAAGCCACATACACAAACACCTCTGCATTCACGGTATTTATTTTATTTTTTAAATTTCTATACTGCTTTATCTTTTTAAGAAAAATCTCAAAGCAGTTTACAGGTAAAGGTAAAGGGACCCCTGACCATTAGGTCCAGTCGTGGCCGACTCTGGGGTTGCGGCGCTCATCTCGCTTTATTGGCTGAGGGAGCCGGCGTACAGCTTCTGGGTCATGTGGCCAGCGTGACTAAGCTGCTTCTGGCGAACCAGAGCAGTGCACGGAAACGCTGTTTACCTTCCCGCCGGAGCGATACCTATTTATCTACTTGCACTTTGACGTGCTTTCAAACTGCTATGTTGGCAGGAGCAGGGACCGAGCAACGGTAGCTCACCCCGTTGCGGGGATTCGAACCGCCGACCTTCTGATCGGCAAGTCCTAGGCTCTGTGGTTTAACCCACAGCGCCACCCACAGTTTACAGCATATTAAATCAATAAAACATAGATAAAACAATCTGAAGTAAGTCAAATATAAAGTATATAGTCAAAGCAACATAACAGAAAACTAAAATATTATCTTAAAGATTTCAGAATGAGGCATTACAAAGGTCAGCTACAGAATACATATATAACATAGCAGGGCTGGTGAGTCTGGGCCTCGCCCCCTAGGCCAGATGGAAAGGGCCTCACCTTTGCCAAGTACTTCCTGGACTTGCTCTCATTCTGATGGCGACAGGCATGCAGGTAGCAAGTGATGGCCGAGACCCCGAGATGCAGCTGACGCTCCTTCACAAATATATTTTCCAAGTAGTCCCCCCACATCGCCCAGGCCTTCACTAGAACGTCGTGCATCTGCACAGCTGCAGAGAAGGCTTTGTTTGCTTCCTCGGACCTGGGGGAAACATGATGGGGCAGGATATTTGATGAAGTTTAACAAGCGCAAGGAACAACAAAGAGAGAATGGAATGCAGAATCCGTAAATAAATCAAGACAGTTCTTAGAAACGCCTGGAGTTTTCCATACTAAAAATAAAAATATCCATGTGTTGCTTTGTAACAGGTTTCACCAACCTGCTCCCCACCGGATGTTTTGTTTTTTTTTTTTATAATAATATTTTATTGGAATTTTTCAAAAATTTAACATCAACAAAAATAAGCAGAAAGCCAAGCAAAAAGGCAATAAAAACAACAACAACGACAACAACAAAAAAACAAAAAAACAGAAAACAAAAAAAGAATACAAAGATAAAAGAGCATAAAAAGAACACTTTTTTTATATAATAACTTTCCAAACCTTATTCTCTTTACTTCCACCCGCCTTCCCTTCTTGTATTCTACTTTAAGAAGTTTGATCAGCAAGATCGTTCATTATTCGTTTTAAACCTTTATCCCTCCCTTTTCAATCTTATTTATCTTAGCCGCTAGAACCCCTTCATTTCATTTTCAGAGCCTTCAACATTCATAAATTTTACAATATTTTTGTAGATAAACTTTAAACTTCTTCCAGTCCTCTTCCATCTGCTCCTCTCCTTGATCTCGGATTCTGCCGGTCATCTCTGCCAGTTCCATGTAGTCTATCACTTGTGTCTGCCACTCTTCCAAGGTGGGTAAATCTTGCGTCTTCCAATGCTTTGCAATAAGTATTCTTGCTGCTGCTGTAGCATACATGAAAAAAGTTCTATCCTTCTTTGGCACCAATTGGCCGACTATGCCCAGGAGAAAGGCCTCTGGTTTCTTCAAAAAAGTATACTTAAATACCTTTTTCAGTTCATTATAGATCATTTCCCAGAACGCCTTAATCCTTGGGCACGTCCACCAAAGGTGAAAGAATGTTCCTTCAGTTTCTTTACATTTCCAACATTTATTATCAGGCAAGTGATAGATTTTTGCAAGCTTGACTGGTGTCATGTACCACCTGTAAACCATTTTCATGATATTTTCTCTTAAGGCATTACACGCCGTAAATTTCATACCGGTGGTCCACAACCGTTCCCAGTCAGCAAACATAATATTATGACCAATGTCTTGTGCCCATTTTATCATAGCAGATTTAACCGTTTCCTCCTCCGTATTCCATTTCAACAACAAATCGTACATTCTCGACAATATCTTAGCATTGGGTTCTAACAGTTCTGTTTCTAACTTTGATTTTTCCACCTGGAAACCATTTTTTTTGTCCAAGTTATAGGCCTCTCTTATTTGAAAATAATGTAACCAGTCCTGCACCTTATCTTTAAGTTTCTCATAACTCTGCAATTTCAACCTGTCACCTTCTTGTTCCAAGATCTCCGAGTATCTTGGCCATTTAGATTCCATATTTAACTTTTTCAAGGCTTTGGCCTCCATTGGCGACAACCACCTGGGGGTCTTACTTTCCAACAAGTCTTTGTATCTCATCCAGACATTAAATAATGCTTTTCTAACAATATGGTTTCTGAAACCTTTATGAACTTTAACCTTGTCATACCACAGATATGCATGCCACCCAAAAACATTGTCAAATCCCTCTAAATCCAATATGTCGGTGTTCTCAAGAAGTAGCCATTCCTTCATCCAGCAGAAAGCTGCTGCTTCATAGTATAACTTAAAGTCTGGCAGGGCAAACCCCCCTCTGCTCTTAGTATCAGTAAGAATTTTGAATTTTATTCTGGGCTTTTTGCCCTGCCAGACAAATCTGGAAATTTCTTTTTGCCACCTCTTGAAACAATCCATCTTGTCTATAATTTGTAACGTCTGAAACAAAAATAACATTCTTGGCAATACATTCATTTTAATAACCGCAATTCTCCCTAACAAGGAAAGCTTCAAATTGGTCCAGATTTCAAGATCTTTTTTCACTTCTGACCAGCACTTCTCATAATTGTCTTTAAATAGGTTAGCATTTTTTGAGGTCATGTTCACCCCAAGGTACTTCACTTTTTTAACCAATGATAAGCCTGTTTCCCTCTGAAACTCTTCCTTCTCAATTGGTGTCATGTTCTTCTCCAACACCTTTGTTTTTAATTTATTCAATTTAAAACCTGCCACCTGACCAAATTCTTCTATTATTTTCAACGCTCTATTGGTACTAGGGATTGGCTCCTTCAGTGTCAGTACTAGGTCATCTGCATACGCTTTAAGTTTATATTGTTTAGCTCCGACCCGTATACCCTGGATCTGCTGGTCCCTTCTAATCATATTCAGCAAGACCTCCAAGACAGAAATGAAGAGCAGCGGGGAAATTGGGCAGCCTTGTCGTGTCCCTTTCTCTATCCTGACTTCTTCTGTAACTGCATTGTTCACTATTAATTTTGCCTTTTGTTCTGAATAGATCGCACCTATACCATTTCCAAACCTTTCTCCCACCCCCATCCCTTGTAGATTTTTCATCATAAAGCTCCAAGAGATATTATCGAAGGCTTTCTCCGCGTCAATAAATATCAAAACAGCTTTTGTGTTTATATCCGCTTGCAATTTTTCCAAAATATCGATCAAGTTTCTTGTGTTATTTGACATATATCTACTTGGGAGAAAGCCTGCTTGGTCTTTATGTATCATCCCATTTAGGACTTTTTTCAATCTTTTAGCCAAAATATCAGCAAAAATTTTGTAATCCACATTAAGTAGGGATATGGGGCGGTAGTTCTTCAATTGCGTCTTTTCAGTCTCATTTTTCGGTATTAGTGTAATAAATGCCTCTTTCCACGATTCCGGCGCTCTCTTCCCCTCCATAATTTCATTACAAACCTCCGTTAATGGTTGAATTAAAAGGTCTTTCAAAATTTTGTAATACTTGGAGGATAGTCCATCTGGGCCTGGAGACTTGCCTAGCTGTAAATTTTTTAT